CTCCTTAAAGTCATCCCAGTAAAAGATAAACATTTCGAAAAAAACATTTCGAAAGGCATTCGAATCGAACATCTTTAAATTCAAAAAGAAAAATATCTTTGTTTTTACGCTGCATAAAAGTTTTAAATTCTTTATGATAATTCCATGGTTTTTGAATAAAACTCGGACCAAACAAGTTTAGTACCCATGATAGAAAGGTTAAGGATAATGTTTCCTTACTTTTGTTAATAGATATATCTAAGAGAAAGCCTTTGAAAAGGTTATCCATATTCATTTCATTTTCAATTTGATTTAGAACTTTTTCAATAGCTCTGTCAAAACCTAAAGCTGTATGTGAAGTGCAAAACAGTTGACCAGCAGGTATTTTTCAATCAAGTATATCAGCTTTGATTTTAGATATTCCTATATTATGAACAGTACTATCAGTCATATAAACATCTACCTTCTGGTATAGTTCTTCTGAGGTGTATTTTGAGGCTTCCTGTAACATTTCGAATGTTGTTTTTATTCCATCTGCAATATTTGCTGTATTTTCTGAAGCAATTGCTAATGTAGGCAAAGGAAAATAATATTCTCGTTTAATATGTAAACCAGAGGGTGCAAAGGTCCCAACATGCTTTTAAATGGTAGAGTCAGTTACGTGAGTTATTATATTGCTACTATTTTTAGCTTGAACAACTCTATCTGCAATTTAGCCAAGAGAAAAGGCATGCATCTGTTTTAGTTTTTTACGTATAGTACTGCGTGTTGGGAGTGTGTCAGAGAATCAGTAAATGTGTTCTCAACAGCTTCACAATTATTTTTATCGTACTTATATATACGGTCAGTTTCATCTAGAATTTTCCATTTTGTTTTAAAAATTTTATTGCCAATTACTTTCAGTGCAATTTGCATTTCCCTCATCGAGAATTCTTCTTCATCTAATTCTACACATGCATGGTAGATTTCACTTAAGACTAAGTTTTTTGATTGTCACACATTAGGTGTAACATAAGTCTTGTGAGTACTATCTTCAAATATTAATTTTGATTTTGATCTTGTCATGTACGGCTGTTTTGGTTCACTTACATCAACAAACATAACTATCTTTTTTTTTTAATTGGTTCAGTGTCCCTTTCAAAGAACTGATAATCATTTTTTGTTAATTCTTTTTCAAGAAATTCATTTTCATCTTCAAATTCACTTAACTCGCTATCATCGTTATCAACGTATATTGTCTGATAAACTGCTGTTTCATTTCTTATCTTTTTCTTCAATTTTCTTTTGTCATTAATAACTTTTTGATGGAAAACTTTTTGATGGAATTCATCAACATTTTGACTTGTAAAATTTCTGTTACCGCGCATGTTTTCTAGAAACGAGTAGTCTTCAGCATTCATTGAAATACCGAAAAACTTTTCCAGCTTCTCACGACAATCTGGATTGAAGCAGTAAATGTCAAAAAGTTTGTTAAGGGATTCGTTCATAGAAATACATCTACCTAAAAAACTATCACCTTGCTTGTTTTTGTCAACACCTTTTAAGTAGCGATATTCATTGATTTCACTTTGCAGATGTTTTAAAATGGCCTGATATGATATTGTGTAGATATTATGCTCTGTCCAATGAATTTCAACTAACTTTGCAACTCTTCGACAAGCACATTCAAAAGTTATTTTATTGTTGACTTCGTTAAAAACAAATGCAAGAACATCTCTGAGTAAAGGCAACTTTGTATGATAAAATTTATCAAATACAGGGAGACTTTCTAAAGGAGTTTGTTTATTTTTATTTAAAACTAGTTTGTTATTACGTCTTGTTACACTTTTTTTCATTTTAATTGATTTCTAAATTTAGTTGGCCTTCTACTTCTATTTAAACATTTAAAAAATGTTTAAATAGAAGTAGAAGGCCAACCAAAAAAAAAATAGAAAAAACTGGATTGTTTTTCAAACTTTTCTAAAAAAATTAATTGAGAATAACTGGTTAAACAAAAGATATAGAATTTTGGACCCCCCTCCTACTTATAAATCTCAGATTTAAATTGAAAATTAAAAAGTTTAATAAAATTATTTGTTACGTTTTTAATTGCATTTAAAATAAATAACTTGAAAACTTTTTTTTTTTGAAATGTTTTGTTTAAAGTTTCATGAAAACTTTTACATAAAGTAACCAATTACATCCAACAATCGTTTAACAAATGTACAAATTTTATTTAAATTATGAAAGAGTATGATATATATTTATGAAATATATGATATGTATTATGATATATATTTATGAGTGTTATGTATAACATTTTTTAATTGTGTTAGTATGTATTTTTTCCGAAAAGTTGCAAAAAATGCTGTTCAATAAATAACATAATCTTTTTAAAATAGTAATTTTTAATTTCATGTTCTGATTACTAAATCAAGTTTAAAAAAATACAGATATAATACATTAATTCTTCTTAATTATTTAAACAAAGGAAATAAAGCAATTAAATTGTTTAATTGCAGTTTAATTGTTTCTATCAGAATATTTGTTAACCATTAGAAGTAATTTGTTATTTTATTTAAAAGCCTTCAGGTAGTATAAAAACTTTAGAAAAGATTTACAATTAAAAAGTATTCCTTACATAGTTTAAAATTGTTGTTTTCAGCACATTTCTGAAATGTCTAAATTGTCAAAACATCTAAATAGCTGTCATGTTTTCAAAATATTATATGCATGGTCACACCACTTCATGGTCAGTAATGGAGTGCAATTGCACACCACTTCTGACCAAGTCTGTAATTTTAGTTATATTAAACACACAATAAAGATTGTTATACAGTCCCTGGCCACACCTCACCACAATACCTGGCCACAATAATCACCCTAGTTTTCTACATATTTTGTTTTCAAAGTTATTTTAAAGTAATTTTAAGGTGAGTATATTATTATTACTAACTTATTATACAATACTATTGGATAAAAAAATATATTATTATTACTAACTCATTATACAATACTATTGAAAAAAAAAAATATAGTAACTTTATAAAATTTTAATACATTTTATAAAGTTACTATAAATAGTAAGAGTTAATATATAGTACTAAATTATTAACATTTTCAGTGTAATAGGTTGTAATTGAAAATTTCAATAAAAAATAAACATGGGTAAGGACGTAAGTTTAAGCAAAATTTTAGAAGTAAAAACACTTTTACAACATTCAGAGCGTTCTTAACGAGAAATTGCTAAAATATGTAAAGTATCACAAAATTGAAAACATTACTCTTTCTCCAAAAAGGAAAGGACGAAGTGGGTCAACACTCCCAAGACAGACAGAATTATAAGAGATATTTGTCTAGAAAATAGAAAAAATCATCTTTTTTTGCTGTCAAAACTTGTTCAAGAGTCTGGAATACAAGTTTCAGAGCGCACAGTGAGGAGACGTCTGGCTGAAGTTGGTTTAAAATCACATTAACCAACTAAAAAACCAAGGCTAACTCCAGCAATGATAAAAAAAAGATTGCAGTGGGCAAAAAATCATAAGTATTTTGAATGAAGTATTGTTTTAATGTTGACATAAACTTAATTACAACCACACTATGATGATTTTTTCAGGTGTGTTTTTCAGACGAATCAACTTTATAGATCTTGTTGGACAAAGCCATCTTAGTCAAGATCAAACAAAAAATATCATCCAGATTGCATTGTACAAACTATTAAACATCCAACTAAAGTTATGGTGTGGTCAGTTATCAGTGGTAAAGGCACAGGAAGACTATATATTGTCAATGGGATGATGAACCAAATACAGTATCAATAGGTTATGGAGAGCCAAATTATCCCCAAAATACAAGAATGGTTTCCAAATAACAATACATTTACGTTTATGCATGATAGTGCTCCATGCCATAAACCTAAAAGGATAACAAACTTTCTTAAAACAAACAAAAAAAAACCCTTTTAGATTGGCCAGGGAACTCTTTTGACCTGAATCCAAATGAGAATTTGTGGAATGATCTCAAGTAGGAAATCTCTTCCGAGGTTTCAACAAACAAAAGGAATTTTTATTGGAAAATTACTCTAATGTGTGTATATTGATTTTGAAATATTATTTTATTATTAAGGAAACATGTTTTATCAATCTTTTGACCTGAATCCAAATGTTTTATCAAAACAATCTGAATTTTGTTGGAGTTAAAGTTCACAAGCCACTGCAAGCCCTAATCTGTTGCAAAAGTGAGATTAAAGAAGAATAGTGTTAGCTTTTGAGGATGAGTACGATAAAATGCTTAGAAAGAAATGATTTTATAATCCCAAAAACTTTCTGAGATACACTATATGTTGCAAGATTATAAAGAAGACCAGCATGCCAATTTTTATCAACAGCTTAAGATATGTCAAGATCAATAACCCTAGCCTTGCCTCCTCTATCTAATCCACGATAAAATTTTTTGGTCAAGTAGTTACCAAGTCAGATAGAGCTAGAAGATCAAAAGCCGTGTTGTTTGTCTGACAGTAAGTTATTTGAATAAAGATGTTAGAAATTTGTTGATCAAAGATTCAAAGACTTTGATAATAACAGATATAAGACTGATCGGATGATAGTTGGATGGGTCAAAATGTTCTCCAGACATTTAAAATTGGTATCGCAAATGCAATTTTCAAGCAAGCAGAAAAACAAGATTCAATCAAGATGCTAAAGTAAAGTGTTCGTTTTGAAAATTTTTAAGCAAATGTCACTGTTTTGAGCAAATAAATGTAAAGAAACGTAGCGTTTGTTTTTCAGTTAATTTTTAACAAACATTTTCAAATTTATTAATTTCTTGAGCCCTGTATTATTATCATTAGAAGCTGATAAAACATGATATGAATATATAAAACATGAAAAAATGATAAAACAAGAGTAAATATGTATTTTCGTAAACCTATTGTTTATATTTTACGTCATAATTATTATTTGTATTTCAGTTTTAATTACACAATACTGATTTTTTTTTATAAATTTGGTTAGAAATTCTGGTGTTATTATTCGTAAATACAGGATACATTTGATGTTAGAATTCTAATGGCGAAACCTGTTGTTCATTCTACTAACTTTCTGACTACAAGAGAGGAACAATTGCACAAGTATTTGTTTTTATCTTTTAAATTAATGAGATATAATTATTCCTAAAATATGATCACTGATTACTGTTATATTGTTATGATATATCTTGCACTTAACATGGGTCTTCTTACATCTAAAAATTTACCAAATTTAGTTTTATTTAAGAGGCAAAATACTTTAACTAGATATGCAGATATCTTCTGAAACAGGAGAGTCGTTGCAAGTTAAATTGCCTGATTATTAAATTGTGATGTAACTTTTAGCAAATAGGTATCTACCAAAAAGGGAGAGTCATGGCAGGTTAATTAAGTTTATATTTTATATAAACTTCAAATATTTTTTTAATTATTTCCAATAAGATAATTTTCCAATAACTAATAAAAAAAAAGATATTTAGAAAAACCTTACATATTTTCTACTTTAATTTAATAAAAAATGTTTAAAAATAAAATAGTTTTGTAAAAAAATTAACAAACACTTCAGTACTCCTTGTACTAACCGCTATTTATCAGCAGTTTGATATCGGATCTTTATTAAATAAAAAATAATTTCATTTAAAAATATAATTATTCTACTTTTTATTTATTTATTTATTTTTATTTTTAAAAAAAATTTCTATATGTGTTATAAATGTTATGTACCATAATTGACCAGCAAACTCAACCTACTGACATTTATACTTACTGATATTTGTACATAATTTGTACAACATTTGCTAAGTGGTTAAGTGTGATGTCCTCAGTATCAACATCCTAATGTTTCTGTGCATTTAATACATTTTTCAGTTTTTATAATTTTGCCCGTTTTAAATACAAACCATAACAGTTGAAAATTTGAAAATGTCATAAAAAACATTTAAACAAATAAGCCTATAAAAATTTAAGCAGTAAAAAAGAACTAAAAACTAAAATTAAAAATAATAAATTGTTAATAATTTGTTGTAAAAAAATAAAGTGGTGCCAAAGAACTTAACAAAGCTTTTATAAACCACTTTGTATGGAAAATACAAATTATAAATCCATATCAGTTATTTCTTCCTTGTGTTTGTCAGTCAGGTTTGGGATTTCATCTATTTAAATATAAAATTAAGAAAAAAAAGGATAACCTTTTCCCATAAATCTTTCAAGGTGAACTGGTCTTGTAAGTGAAATATGAAACTATTTGAAGATAAGTAAGTTCAGCTTGTTCATGGCTTTTTTTTTTCCATCCTGAAAAGTTTTTGATATATTTTAAAATTTGTTATAATACTTTTTTATAATACTTTTTACTTTTTAAAAATTAGAGAGGAATAAAATGAATAAAAATAAGAATTTTATTTTTTTGAAGATCACATTATTGCAAAATTGAACAGCAGCTAATTTTTGATTATATTTCCATGTTCCAGGTGGTATTGTTATTCTTTTCAGTTCCTTAGTTTTAGAATTTCAGTTTTGTTTTAGAACTTCAAATAGTTTGTTTTCTGGACCTTGGGTAAATATTCCAGAAATGGGCTATGTGACACTCAATTACATGATGTCTCCATGCAATCAACAACAATGAACATTGAACTTGTTGAATTAATCTCATGCAAATACCTCATGCCATTTTCCTTTATTTGCTGAAGTTGTATCAACAGAGATAAATAACCTTATCTTTTAATCCATAAAACTCCATCAGTTCCTCAATATCTTGCTTTTGATTACCCCTCAACTACAATATATTGGAGGATTGCCAAAGAATTCTGTTTTCTCATTAATTCTTGTTAAAACTGTAGTTCCTTTATTAAATATCTTTATTTAATTGTTTTCCCTTTTTTCATTAATTATTTTTCCATCTATATGATAATAACATGTACTAAGCCTTCCAAGGAAACCCGTGCGGTTTTTTGTCCTGTATGTCCACACACGAGTATTTTATTTTAGACAACTTAGACATGGCTGTTTGCAAGTTTTATAATATTAATCATTGGGAAAAAAACTAAGGTTCAAAAAACAAAAAAATAAAACTAACAAAATAGGAAATAAAAAGAAATTGAAAACACTGAAAGGCTTAAATGGTATAAGAAATCTGAATGTGTATCATTCAGAAACATACAACAAAAAGATTATAAATAAGAAAAGATAAATGGTTACAAATCAAACATATGACCAGCGGTATTTAAAAAATAAATTTTTTTGCCAAAAATAACAACCACTCTGAAGAAACAAAAGTAAAAACAGTACACAAATTATTTAAACTAATATTATTTTCTTTTTAAGTTTATTTTAATTTCCTATTTTGTTAGTTTTGTTCTCTTTGTTTTTGAAACTTTTTTCAGCAACACATATAATAAAATTTGCAAAACAGCCGTGTTTCCTGGGAAAGTTTGTGAAACAAAAAACCGCAAGCGTTTCCTGGGAAGGCTTGTGTGCTAATTAATGCTGTATGTTGGTAAGGTCTTATATACTTTCCCGCTACTGTTGACTATTGACTGAAGAATATTTTTAGAAAGAAGAACAGAACTTTGAAAATTAGGATGTAAAAAATCAATTATCATAGTCAATATATGTTGCATCTGCTTCCTTGTTCGCCACTAGTGAAACTAGAAGAACTTAGATCTAAATCATTCTTATATAACTCTGCTGATAAATCTTATTTATGTGTATATATAGGTCTGCTTCTTATACTTTTTTTTACAGAATATCTTGATATCTTCCTCCTTTCCTTTCAAAATGTTGGTCTTCTAAGAATGCAATATCTTCTTCCTTGCCTTTCATTTTTCTAATTTAATCTTTTAATATTTTTCCTCAAACATAACATTAGGATGTACTCCAATCCAAAATACTTTATTCAATTGCTTTTCAAATAAATGTCTTTTATTTTGGAAGAATTTGCTAAAAGTTTTTCGTATAACTTTTTAACTAAAAATTTAATTGAAAAACTCATCTCACAAGTGGTTTGAATCATTTTTAGTTAACAGTACCCAAAAAGTTAAAATTGGTAACTCATATTCCATAACCAAAATGTAAAATAAGGAGCACCGCAAGTAGGGCTTGGCAATCGGTGTAAAGTGCAACCGGTTAACCAGTTTTTTGTTTGGTTTTCTCTAAACCAAAAACGGTAATAAAAAAAATTAAGTTTTTTGTTTAAGCTTAAAGGGATCCCAAACTCCCAACACATCTTGTGTTCATATGAGAGATAATGTTAAAAAGAAAGGTTTGAACCAAGTTTTTTTAAAGATATTAAAAACCTCAAAAATTTTATTATGGTTCATTGCTATAAAGTGTTATTGTGCCATATATTTAATGTTTATAAATTATAAATATTTATTATCTCAATCAAGACTCTAATAAAAAAATTGTTTTACATTAATTACCCATATTAGTAACAGCTTTTTTATTTGGTTAGACGATATTCCGTTTCAATTTGCTTTGCATGAAGTTCGGACAGTCAAACGAAAAAAATATTAGTTTAAATAATCACATCGAAACATATTTAAATAAAATTATTTTAATGACGAGGGTTCTAAAGTTTTTTATAACAAATGTAGGTAAAAAATAAATAACTAAATAAAAAGTTCAACATTAAACGTCATTTCTTTATTATATTGCAACTGTAAATATTGAAATATTAACTTGAACTAAATTTACTTATTATTTAGAACGACTAAGCAATAAAAATAAAATACCCCTAAAATTATGCGAGATTGTGTTGTTTATTTGATAATTGTTGTTGGTAATGTTGTTTATGTTGATTATTTTCATTAATATCAAAATAGTCCCAGATTAATCTGTTAGATGCTTTGCTCATTGTTGATTTATTTCTAATTTAATTTTATCTCAAAGTATAATTTTATGTTAAAAAAGAAAAGTTTTTATTTCATCGCGCGCTCTTTTTATAAAAGAGTAGAACAAAAGAGAAAGAAAAGTTTCGCGTAATTAAACTTTGAATGAATAAGAGTTGTATAGAATTTTTTTTTTTTTTTTGCGTCACTTGCTCTTATTTTAGAGGAGTTTTTTTTAGATATAAGTTTAATAGTAACTTTTCTTTGAATAAATGAGAATTGGAAGAGAAAATTGCTTGAAAATTTGTATTTGTAAATTGTGTTTTTAAAAATTTTTAATTTTTAATGTTAAGAGACAAATGCCAATTACGACACAATTTGGAAATACCAAATATAGTATGTTTTTTAATGCGCGTTATGACATTTTAATAATTTAAATTACCATCTATCTTGAATTATTGCCATTAATTTATGTGTTAATTATTGCGTTATTTATTAATAGTTTGTCCGTATTTTTGTTAAATATTAGTTGTATAAAACGGGCGAAAATATCCGAATTTCATGTTTTTAATTTGACGATTATAAAATATTGAACAGTAAACTTTTAATCAAAATTTATAGTGCCGACTTGTGTTGCTATTAATTGTACTTTTAATGCAAAATCAGGATCTCACATATCCTTTCAGGAATTTTCATATTTGGTATTACTGTCAACTCTATTTTTTAGTCTATTCTTGTACTTTTTTTTCATAACCTTAACAGGTTCTGATTGGTATGGAGTTCCTGACATTTTAAAAATTTCATTATCAAAAATCAAATGTAAAATAAAATATTTCCTTTTTATCCCTATCCAATTCAACAAATTTAGCAATTTAAATTAAATCAGCGTAATCAAAAAATTTTCATATTAAAAAAAGTTAACAATTCATCAAATATCTCTAATTAATACTGTCAGTTTATGAATGTAATTGTTAATAAATACTTTTTTTCGACGGGAAAACAAAAAATTGTCATAGCGTAAAAATAACCGGAGAAGTTAGAAAATAGTTCCCATTGTTCCCATTCCCATAAAAATAAGTAAAAATCAGAATATATAATACTGAGCTCTCTTGCCCAAAAATGAGAGACCGTATATAAAATGTTCTATATAATGTAAAATACTCGTATGAAAATCATAAGATTCGTAAGTAAAGCTTTAATATTTGTTTTAATTTAGAAACAAAAGAAATATAAGTAAGATATATAAATCTAAAAATTAGTAAAGATATCTGTAAAAAATGAGTTGCTCCTATAAAATAAAAATAATTTGTTTTTACTTTTTACAAAATTTTTTTTGCGATGTTTGGAAAAATAATACAAATAAATTTGTTTTGCCGTATGTTAAAAAAATACTACATCGTACTTTTCGAATTAAAGTAGAAAAACGCAGCTTTGTGTAATTACACTTTTCATTTGTTAAAAATCTACCTTGATGTCAAATACTAAAACTTTTATGAATTAAACGCGCTTCAAAGGAATCGCTAAAGTCTGTAGATTGCAATGTATAATTTGAAGACTCCGAGTTATTGAAAAAAAATGGAGAAGGCAAGCTTCGGCTAAAACAAAAACATTAGTTTTTCTCGGTATGCATTCATTATTTATTTTTATTCAAAAAAAACTTGGTTTAAACCTTTTTTTTAACATTATCTTTAATATGAACACAACATGTGTTGGGAGTTTGGGATCCCTTTAAGTATCAAAAATTTTCCTTAGTTTACAGGTCTAATTCCAATATATTCTGTAGGTTACATTGGATTCATACAGCAATAATAAAAATATGCTTTTATAATTAAAAAAAAACGGTTAGCTGGTTTTACAACTTAAAAATACCAAAAACCAGTTTTTTGAATTTTTCCACATTATCTCACCATGGTCCTAATATTTGGAATATACTTCTAAATATCATCCATGGCAAAAAATACACAACTATTTATAACAAAAAACTAAAATCTTATTTAATGGTGAATGGAGAACTATTCCACCAGAAAACTCTTGAGCATTCAAAATTTTACAAATATAGTAATTTGTTGCGGAGCTGAGCAAGTGTTTTACCAACTTATCCATTATTCTGGCAAAACACAGTAGGGTCATTAATATAATATTGTCATATTTCAAAAATATTTAAACTGAATATTAGAAATATTCATGCATGAAAATAAATCACTTCATCATTTATTTTTATGCATGTGTTTGAGATGTTTAAAATTTGATAGCCATTTTTAATATTTTAGCATCTACTCGGTGTTTAAATGATTTAATTTGAAAAGAAGATTTAATTTGAAAAACCTTAAATTAAAGCGTGTGTTATAAGAGTAATTTATATAACTGTGCGTGGTGTACACTGGATTTTAGATGTTTGAGTTTTGACACTTACAGGTATTGTGCAAACTCCAAACTTTTGTATGTTCATACTTATGTCAAATGAGAATGTTTTGCAAAAAGTTGTGGTGATTGGAGCTTGGGGACAAAAAAACCCCAGTTTTTGGGCCCACCCAGCCTTTAACGTGGGAGCAACAAGTTGATAAAGTAATTTCTTTAGTATTTTTATCTAAGTTTATATTCATCAACGAATTTCAAATTTCATGCAATAACCTTTTAGTTTTAAGTTTTTATGACCCTACAAAGTTTACAGCCCCCTCATATTGAGGGGGTTAAAACTTTATATGGTCATAATTTTCGAAAATAAGAAATTATTGGATGAAATTTTAAATTTGTTGATGAATATAAACTTAGATAAAAATACTAAAAAAATTATTTTATCAACTTGTTAAGAGCTGGGTGGGCCCAAAAATTAGGGGTTTTTTGTTCCCAAGCTCTTATCATCGCAACTCTTTGCAAAACATTCTCATTTGACATAAGCATGAACATACAAAAGTTTGGAGTTTGCACAATACCTGTAAGTGTCAAAACTCAAACATCTAAAAGTCCAGTGTACGCCACTGCTGTGTATTTAAAGGTTATGAACTAATTTAAAATATAACTTATTTGACATATTCTACATAGCTTTATCGTTCAAGTTTGTCAGAAGCTTGTGCTGTGAACCGCTTTAAATGCTCTGAGACCTTGCAACACATCCCCAGAATTTTTGTTTTGTTTTTTTTATTATGAGAAAACTCTTCCTTATTTCAAAAATGTAAAAAATAACTTTTTTTACCGGGGGCTTAGAGAAATCATGTATTTTAGGCGAGTGCCTAGTAATTTTGTTGTTCAAATTTTTTGGAAATGTTGTTTTAGGCAGGCGCAGTTTATAGAATAGACCAGTTTAATTAAAAAATTTTTTTTTTTACTTAAAGTTGAAAAACATATTTTGACAGCATAGTCTCTTTTGAGTATTTTTTATATTTAAAAGATTGTGGTTAGCATAACATTTTTTTCTCTCACCCTTAGTGAAGCCAATGTGTTGTTTATCAGGGGTATTTTGTTAGGAAACAATGTATTTGTAAATAATATTTTTTGATAAGCATTTGTCATTCATAGGGCATAAATTTTTTGTTTGCAATTACCTGTTTCAGTATTTTTTTTCTTTAAGAAATTCATTTTTATTATGCAAGGGGTATTTTTCCACTGCTGAAAATTTAATTTTTTTTTTTTGAATAATATTGTATATTTTGTCTAATTTCATTTTACTAATGTGCTCTAGTTTTGAGGGAACTAGTAGTAGTAGTAGTAGTAGTAGTAGTAGTAGTAGTAGTAGTAGTAGTAGTAGTAGTAGTAGTAGTAGTAGTAGTAGTAGTAGTAGTAGTAGTAGTAGTAGTAGTAGTAAAAGTAGTAGTATATTATATAAAAATTGTTTATTTTTCAATTTATAGAATTCATATACCTTTACATTACACAATGCTCATGACTGGCACTTTACACGGTCTTGCTTTTTGGTTTGATGTTGCTTTTCTTGGTCAGACGTAAGTTCACTTGATAGTTTAAGTTTTATCTCTTAAAATGATTACAAATCTTTACTTTAAACTTTTTATATGAATAATTTAAGATAAACTATAATCAAATTATTACAACAATGATTATTGATTATTCTGTTATTGATCTAAAAATATATTTTACTAAGTATTCAGGGGAGACGAGTTTCTTATTTTGAAATTTTGTTCTTGTTTTTTTTTATTTAATTTTATTTTTTTACTTATATAAGCACGCATTACTTTTACTTTTTTAGTTATATGATAATCAATAATTTGATTTTTAATTGATTTTCATTAAAATTTATTCAAGTTTTCATTTTTATGTCAAACAACTATTTTTTATATTCTCCATTTTGCTGTATTCTTTTTTTTTTAATTTTTATTTAAGTTTTTATATTTAAATTATTGTTTTTCAAATGCATAGATTATATATTAATGATATTTATTAAACCATATATTATAAAATTTTGCTAATAAAACAAAAGAAAATTTAGACAAACCTAGAGAAATCATCTAAATCAAAAAAAAATATTTTGTTTTCTTGTTATAACTAATACACATTGATTTGCTCCTCAGGAATTTTTTTTTTAATGCTATAAAAGTCACTCCACTCATCACTCCAATATATCTCAGTTATTACATAAATTTACTATTTCAAGTTACTAATCGTTTATAAAAATAAAATACAAATTCTTGTGAAGACCTGAGCTGCAATGCCCAATGATACTATTGATATCGGTACCAAACTATACCAACATAACCGATACTTTCGATACCAATATTGCGTGATATGGATTCTGTAAGGCATTGCACAGATAACAAACGATACCAACATAACTGATACTTTTGATACCAGTATCGCGTGATCTCAATATCATTACTGTAACCAAGACTGGATTTCCTTGTGTTTAGTTTTTTTAACCATTATTATCTGTCTTTTTTTAATTTATTATTTTTTGTCTGTTTTTTTAACCTTTTATTTTGTCTGTTTTTTAAACTTTTTTTTTTTATATTTCATTAACTATTGTTGTAATCTGTATTTTTTTTTTCCTTCTTTTCCTAAGTTTTTTGAACTTATGCCAATTCGCAGTTATGCGAACTGGCATAACTGCAAAATCGCATTAGTGCGCTGAATAAATTTGCAAATATATTTGGCACAAGTGCAAACTGGCATAAGTCTGAAATACTAATTTGCACTTATGCAAATATTCAAAATTTTATTTGGCGCACTTATGCCAGTTCGCACTTATGCCAGTTTTTGTAACTGCTTCGCACTTATGCCAGTTCGCACTTGTGCCAGTTTTTGTAACTGATTTGCAATTATGTCAGTTCGCATATTTGCCAATTCGCACTTATGCCAATGTTTGCAAATTTGTTTGGCACACTTATGCCAGTTCGCACTTGCGCCAGTTTTTGCAACTGCTTCGCACTTATGCATCGATGAGTTTTTTCCGGGAATTCCGGAAATTCACTTAAAACTCCTTTAATGTTTAAGAAATTTTCAGATGTTTTTTGTTTTTAATTTGTTTAAAAAAAACTATATATTTTTAAATAAAATTTTAAAAACAACAACTTTTGCATTTAAACAAATATATTTTCTATAGTTAAAATTTTTACAAGATCAATTTTCGAAACAATTTTTTTTCTTTTTTTTTTTTGCTTTTTAGTTTATTCAAATTAACTTTTTTGAATATTAGAAATTCCTTTTTGTAAAAAGTTAAATAATATAAATTCCATTTTAAAAGTTTACGAAAGTTTTTGTTTTCAGTTAATATGATCAATTTTTAATAAAATATTTTTCCAGGATTTTCAAAAAAAAATTCTGGGATTTTCATAAAATCAAATACTCATCTATGCTTATGCCAATGTTTGCAAAATCTTTTGGCGCACTTATGCCAATTTGCACATATACCAGTTTGCACTTATGCCAGTTTTTGCAACACTTTGCACTTATGCCAGTACACACCTGCCTATTCGCGCTTATGCCTATTTCGCTTTATGCCTTATTTTACTTTATGTTCGCTTTAAACATTCTATAAAATCTCTAGATTCTAATGTCTGGAAAATGCTGAGAGTAACTTTGCAAAAGAAACATTAAAAACAACTCTCATTTTGCTAATAAAATATTCTTTTACGTCACGCCTTTGTTAATCATGAAAAAACTGGAGACCTAGTCACACTTTTTTAATATTATTGAACTTGCTTGTGGTTATAAGGAAGTTAGGATGATCATTTTGTCTGGGCTAGCAAATCAGTATGCATGTTTCCAGATTTCAATATATAATCTTTGAGTTTGTCAAAAATTCCCTTTTGATTCTCTTAGAAGTTAATTCTCTTAGAAGTTTTTGAAAATTTTTTTTTTGGATGAAACATATACTAGTTTGATTGAACAGTTACCTATATGCGACTTTTGAACACAATAACATAGAAAAAGAGCTCAATTTTGAATAATTGAAAAAACAAAATTTTATGTGTTGTTAAACGACTTATTATATAACATTTATTATATATACATTATTACGTAAACTTGTTGTTATCAATTTCGACTAAATCAACTAAAAGTTGACTAATCGAAAGTAGTCGACTGTGAAAAATCTAATAGTCGATTTAATTGACTTTAGATTTTCTACTAATCAACTTAAAGTGGATTTAGTCAGGTCCTAAAATTCTTATCTTTATGACTTCGTTTGATTTAACTTTGTCAATATTTAATTTTATGATGATGCTGACCAATTAGTAAAGATATATCTTTATAAGTAGATTATTTTATAAAGATAAAATATTTGTAAAGATTGAGCCATGCGCAAGATCATTATTCATAGCTGGGTTTTTAATTCAACTACAATATCTGAACATTGAACCTAATTTACTGTTTCACATAAACTCAGCTCTAAGCTTACTGTATGCTGTGCCACTACATTAATATTTATTTTTTCTCGTTATAATGACTTGTTATAAAAAGTTAATTCTTTAAAAAAATATTTTATAATGTGTCATCAGTTAACGATGCCAAAAAGATACAAAGTTTTATAAATCTGAAATCTGCAAAAAAAGTTTGGCCCTACCAGCCTCCACCTTGATACACCACAAAAATTATGCCTTAGAAATTTTTTGCTTTAATTGTTGTGATAAATTATACAGAGAGAATCTTTTTTTTTGAATTCTCTCTGTTTTAATTCAATTAAAATTCGATAAGTCAATAAATTCAATCAAATTCTTTTTATTGATTGATACATATAATAATAATTCCCAATGGACATTTTAAATGATTGGTTTAACTCCCTTTAGAAATTAATAATGATTAGAATAATTCTAATAATAATAATGATAGGTACTTATGCAAATCCTTTAGGACATTATTTCTGCATGAAGGAATTCTTATCTGAACACACTTAAAAGCTGTTACTTCTTTGACTTAATTGTAATAGCTATTTTATTATTATTCTCTTTTTATGGTAGAAATAAAATTTCGAATCGAAACATTCATAAAAGTAAAGTCTGGAATTATTTTGTGAAAAACAAAATTGTTTGAAATTGACTTGGATTGCATTAAAGCATAGCCCAAAAGCCCATACTAGCCTATATTTAAAGGAACAAATTGAGTTAATTCTAAATAAATGGAAAATAAGTGATAAAACACTTTCAACAAGTAGTGACACTGCTGTGAATATCAAACATTGTCTAGAAGATCTAATTAATAAATTGTACATACCTTTTTTTGTCATATATTAAATTTAATTGTGAAAGATGTTCTTGTTAAAGAGAATGAGCTACCAACTGACAAAAATGATTGCATTTTCATAATTTAAAAGAAAATTAGGAAACTTGTTGGCTTATTCAAACATAGTAACAAGCTTTCTGCTCAGCTTGTAAATTGTGTTGAGTTGAATAATATGAAAATTGACAATCAAGAAGATAAATGTTCCATCAACAAATTAAAACAAGACATTGCTTCTTGGTGGAATTCAACCTTTTTAATGTTTCAGTCAGTTTTTAAACTTAGTGAATCATTAATAACATAATGACTATTTAATATCATGAATATTGATTTAGTCAAAATTTCTAAATGATTTAGATTAAATTAAAAAAAGATTAAACTAAACAAACATTATATTAAAAAAATATTATCATTAAATGTTGATAAAATTAAATAAGGGAAGGTTGCATAAGTTAAGTACGTGCATTGTTTTTCGCAGCCGAAATATTATAATATTTATATTAATTTTTGCAGATTATCACAATTTAGTGTATCCTGTTAAAGAATATAAATGAATAGTTCATTAAAAAAAAATCTTTTGCGTTATTTTCAGCTCATCCAATCATCTCATCTAAGGAAATCAGTTTCCTAAGATGAGCTTTTTTATAATGAAACTCAAAAAAACTTAAAATTACAAAAAAAGAATTAAATAAAATTGCATCTTTAAGGACTATGCTAAAGTAAAAAGTAATACATAAAAACCATTAAAAAAAACATTAATAAATCTCTAAAACACTTAGCAATACTTTTGCGAATTTTTTAAAAAAAGCTTTCGATCTTGAAATACCTAGGGGCTGTCCATTAATTACGTCAACAATTTTTTGGCAATTTTTACCTCCCCTCTCCCCCTTTTCAACAACTTATCAAACTTTTAGTGACCCCCCTATGAAGTTATGTCAACATTTGATAACTTCCCCCATATATATATATATATATATATATATATATATATATATATATATATATATATATATATATATATATATATATATATTTTGAAAATAATTTCATTACATGCATAACATGATAGATATTAGATTAAAAAACAAGTCTGTAATTTTCAAAATTTTTAAATTTCCTCTAGAGCTTGCCATCTTGAAAAAATAGGATTCCCTTTTTTTTCAACTCTAAATATAAATAACTTTAAAAATAATTACTTTTGTGTTATGTTACTTGATGCATATATTAATTGTTATGAAAAGAACATTTTCCCAAATTTTCATAAAAATTGATCATTGTCTAGAGGTCGCCGTATTAAAAATACGACGGTACAAAAACATTGTTTAATTTTAATGACTAAACATGTAATTGAAATTTAGACTTTATTTTTCTTAAATATATTGCTATAAAGTAATAAATTTAATTTCGAATTGATGGATTTTGTTTTTCTGTGTTCAATGACAAAAGCAATTGATATTGCGAAAATTGCCAATGCGCTGAAAAAAGAATCGTTTACTCATAGTAAACAATTCCTCTTTTAGCGCAATTGTTTGTTACCAACAATTGTAAAGCAAAGTCTCTTGCAATTTGATAATCTTGGATAAATTTTCAGCCTTGTGGATTCATCTTGAGCCATTCTTGATATTTTATAAGTCCTAATAAATCAAAAAGAAACCAGACCGTGGCCCAATTAAAAAAGAAATAAAGGTTGACCAATTTAATGTCAGAAATGATGATTTACCAATCAAAAAATTTTTAGGTCTTGCGGTAGAATAAAGTTTTTTTGCCATTATTGTTTTTGTGAGGTCTGACAATTTTTCATTAAATCCTCAAATGAAAAAAGTACATTTAATAAAAAGACTAATGAACTGGGCCATGCAGTGGATATAAACTTATTAGATAAGAGTTCTGTTTTTAGGATATATATAGAATGTGACATAATTCTTGCAATATGAATTGCACCAGGTTTGTGCACTTTGAATTTTCTGACCCCTGCTAATTGTCCCCCAATTGTAGTTTTTTTGCTAATTTTTTGCTAATTGTCCCCCAAGATAAATAAGAGTTAATTCTATTTCAAGATTTCTTGAGAATTAACAAGAAATCATTTCCAAAAGAAGACTTGTAGAAATGTTTTCTTGTTGATGCATTGATAAGGCCATTTAAGAACTAAATTTGCTCAATTAAATATTTTGGATTTGATGCCAGTAGGCCATTCAAAAAAATATCAACTCCTGAAAATTTTGTTTGAAATCTTTTAAAAAAAGGTTCCTTTGTACTCTTGCTATCTTCTCATAATGCACTATGTTTGATGTGCAGCTCGTTGTGATGATGATGACATGCTAGCCATAAATTTTTTTAACTCAATTTCAATTAACGTTATTGTTATTCTTCTAATCTTCATGCCCAATATTCTTTCCATTCTTTTCAGTTTGAAAAAGAAATCTTTGTAATTGTCAAATATAAGCACCATTCTAAAAGCAATAAAGAAATTCTCAGCGTATAAAATAATTGATAGAATAATTTTATTAGCAATTCTATATCCAGGTATAGTGTAGACAGATAATATAACTAGAAATATAAATAAAGGTGTCAATTCATTTCCTATGTATCCAAGGTGTTGCAAAGAAAACAAAAGAAAACAAACATAATGAAGTTTTTTTTTTTTTTTTTTTTCATTTTAAATTAGCAAAGTTTCTTTTTCTTTTTTTCTTAAAAACAGGGTTTTATTTTAGGATAAAATGTTTTTCCTAAATTTGCTAAAAAAGATTTTGCTATTAATTTATTGGAATTTTTTTATTTTGCAGCTTTTACATTTCTGATTTGCTTCATTTCTAAGGATCTGCACTCCATTTCTAAGGTTCTGCACTTTTTTTCATTGTTTTTTCATTTTATTGTCATTCAACTGCTTATCAATTAATTTATCTGAATAATTTCTCATGTTGATGAAAAATTTGAATTTGTACTAGATTTTACTAGATGTTAGCATTCATTATTTGTTAGCTGGCATATGTTGAGACTATATTTAGATCTTACATTTTTGTGAATCCTATAATAATATCTGTTGAGTTTAATTTTGTAGCATTTAAATTATATTAACTCACAACCATTGCTCTTATGTTGTTAAAAATTTTAATCATTTACATTAAACCTATTTATTTTTTCAAAGTTCTATTTCATATTTCATATGAAAATATTGTATAGCATATTAAAGCTAGTTATGAATGGTTTGTAAAAATATAATTTTATCTAATAATGTTTTAAACTAAAACCAGCATTGAGTTTGCTTTACAAATTGCTTTAGAAGTAAGTGGAACTTTAGAAATATAATTTTAGAAATTATTTATTTTTAATTTAAGTTTAATTGAATCATAACACTGAGATTTTCCTTGATTATTTTTAAAATATGATCACTGTTTACATCAGAGTTGTGCATGACATAAGTGGTTTAAGTGTTTTTTTGCAAATATGCATAATTATCATAATTAAATTTTTTTAACCAAGCTTAGGATCATGTCGTAGAATGCATGCAGCTTTAAATTTCAAGTTTTTTTAATGTTTATTGTTTTACTGCATCTATCTTTAAATAATTTTTAATGTTGTCAGGTAGGTTGTTAATTACAAAAGTATCATCCACAACACCCTTGAGGTGCACCCCAAATAAATAGTGACCAGTTTGATAGAATGTCATCTAGAATAACTCTTCTGTTATGTAAAAAAAATCTTCTATCCATCTTAAGATATTACTAACTATATGATTCTTTGCATGACTATATCGTCCTTGCATGTGGCATCTAACTCATAAAACCAAAATATATAAAATTATTCTCACAAATCTACTGAGTTTTTTGTTTTGAGTTTTTTAATTTGAGTTTTTTAATCTGTAGTCTATCTGTAAATATATCTAAAGCATATTGGTGAGGCTTTTTTTTCAATTTATCATCAATCATAAATAGTTGATTCAATAATCTTACCTAGGCTATGATAAAGCTATGAGTGTTTATTAAGTACATCTCTGTGGTTTCTATAATGACGTTTGTTATATTCTTTTCTATATTTTTTGGTATAATATCTATATTTTATATCAAAGTTCGTTTTTTGAAATTATTTGGTATTCTGAAGTTATTTTTTTTTAGCATTTCTATATTTATTCATTTTTTTGTAATATTTTTATAGTTATTTTTTTTATTTTTATGTTTTTGTTATATTTTTATAGTTGTTTTTTTTTTTTGGTAATATTTCAATAGTTATTTTTTTAGTAAAGTCCTTTTTAGTAAGGCATAAGTGGCAATGACGATGATGATTTGTCTGACAGGATAAACTAGTTATTAATGCTGACGCAACTCTGAGGAGATGTTTATCACTTAATCACTACACAAATTATGTTTACACATCAGCATTAATGTTTTTCCATTCTGAGGCCTTACATTGTTTTATGCATACTTTTTCTTTTCTAATAAATTTTTTGTTTTATAAGTTTTTTGTTTGGTGATATATTTGTTCTATATCTTCGTTCATATTAGTGTTTATAAAACAATTTTTTTATTATTATTATTTTTGTTAAGTACTGTTTTAGGTGCATTGTCTGTCTTATTTACTTTCAAATATTCCTCTATAATCTTTATTTTTGTCTTAACAACTGTCTAAATATGCTTTGCTCAAAAAATAATTTAAATTTAAAAAAATGTAATATTTCATTAGTTTTTTTTTTTAGTTTTAGTTATTTCTATATTTCAGTAGTGATTTTTTTTAGTTATTTCTATAGTAATTTTTAGTTACATTTCTATAGTTATTTTTTATTATTTTTAAACAGTGCAACAATTCTGTTTTCATATTTTTAAATGTTCAACTTTACATATTTGTTGTTATTGTTTTATTGTTGCTGCAAAAGTAGTAAGTTAGATTTATTTAAAACTAAATTGCTCAAAATATTTTCAAAGTTTTATTTCAAAGATTCTTGAAGACATATAGACATTTAAAGGACCACTTATATTGTTCAAAAAAAAATCTTTAATATTATGTCAACCTGGGTTTCATTTTATTTTAAAGATATCTTGAAAAAAAAAATTATTAAAAAAAAACTGTTGAAAAAATGAACTTGATAACAAAAGTTTATTTTTTATAAAAAAATGATAGCTTTTATAATATAAATCAAAACATTACAAAAAATAAGTGTTTATATATCAAATGAAGTTTTCTAAATGTTATAAAACTGTCATTTGTTCAAGGGTCTTAGACAACCCCCTATAAACAGATTTTAAAAGCTGATTTTCCATTATTATTAATGATTTAAATTTTTAGAAGCCATGTATATTTATCTACAGCCCCTCATGAGCCTCTCACTCACTGGTACCAGGTAATTTTATAATACAAATATATATTATATATGAAAGTGTTGTTGATAGTTTTCAAGCGTAATAATGTTTTTATAGGTTCGTTGTTTATTTCCTAATCCATTGTTTGTAAGGGCAGGTCAAAAAGTTACAGGAAATGTAATCTTACATGCAAACCAAAAGTAATTTTTTTTTTTTTTTTTTTTTTTTTTTTTTGGTGATTATTTATGGTGAATATTTAAAAAAACTCAAATATAAATATTTTGTTTATTAACATTATAAAATATGGTTGTAGACAAAGCTATGATGTTGAAATGGAAGTAACTTTAGATGGAACAGGAGTGAGATCTACTAATGTTCTTGATTTAAAGAACCCTTTCTTCCGTTACACTGGTGTTCAAACTGCTCCTCCGCCAGGTGCAAATTCACAGTCACCTACAGAAACCTATTGGAATAATGCTGGAGTAGTTTTGAATGGGGGAATTATGAATACATCAACTGCATATGTTGGACAACCATCACATGGATCAGGTATATAACTAGGTTTTCTTACACCTTGTATGTTTTTTCATAAAAATTTAAGTTTTGATAAATGCACTCTGATGTTCATTTTGGACTTATTGTTTTGCATGGGTTTTAAAGTGATAAATTTTAATAATCATTTTTTATTTAAAATATCCCTTAAGTCTTTGTTAAACAAGCATCTTTTTTGTTTCTAAATAATTATTAAAATTTGAATTTAATAATTTAAATAATTAAATACTTAATTGTTAAAAATAATTTAATAAAATCTTGTTTTAAATTAATTATTTTAATTAAAGGAAGAAAAATGTTATTGTTACTCTTACAAAATTTTAAATTTTTAAAGTTTTTTTAAATTTTAAATTGTTCATTGTTTTCATCTTTCTTAATTTATTTTGTTTTAGAAAAAAAGTGGTTTTAAACAAAAAGTTAAATTTTAAATTACTGTATTTTTATTTATAGTTCTTTTAATTATGTTGGCTTGTGTTTTTTTTTTTTTTGGAAAAACCTGAAGATTCTTTATTTCTTAAGATTTTTAACACTAAATAATTTTAAAATTTATTTCTTCTGTTTAGTAACAATCATTTTATTTTCTTTAAAAAAATCTTTGTATTTTTTTTGAATCTAAAATAATATCTAAAAATACAAATATTTGTATTTGTAAAAAGCTGATTACATATATTTGTATTTGCATCTGTATTTGGGAATCTAGAATTAATACATTTGTATTTGTTGGTCAGGGTTAGGGTTGTTTTCTGCTGTCGTGTACAATAAGGCAATCGTTATAATGAAATATCATTACTAACTATAGTATTAAAAAATAGTAAGACAGTTAAAAAATTAAATTGCATTCAAAAAAATAAGTTGTGAAAAAAAGCTAAAATTTATCTTATACTACTAAAGTATAAGATAAATTTTAAATGCTTGGAGTCTAGGGATTTGCTATAAGATTCATTACGCTATTGAGCTATATGTTCTGGTAGTTTTTTCTAGTAATTTGTTCCAATGATCTGTTTCAGTAATAAGTTCAAGTAATTTCATCAAATCTAGTAATTTGTTGCAGTAAATTCTGGTAAGAATCAAGGTTATCATGATCGCCCTGCTATTGTTCACATTTAATCCAGTACGGACTGCCTCATTTCCTGCTGCCTTGTAAGACTTGCTTTTCTAGGCTAAGTCTAGGAGAACTCAACTCTGACTTTAAATAAGTACCTGTCTTGGGGCTCTTTGTTAAGTAAAGGCTAGAGATGGTGCCTTGATATAAATATATATTGTGGCCGAATGTTAACTAAATCTGCGTGCTGTTTTGTGAAAAGCCTTCATGACGAAGACTTTTGGGTTAAACAGAAAATTTCTGTTAATCATCCTCTTTCAATCTTTTATAAATATTTCCTAAATTTAATAGCTCTATCAATACTCTCACAGCAACAACTTTAAGAGTAAAGTAACATAGTTATATTTTGAAAATAGTTATATTTTGATACATCTTTAAAAAATTTATTTTCTCTTAATTTTACGTGATTACCATTGATATCACTGCAATAAACAGATAAAAAAAAAAATTTAATTAGTCATGTAACATTATTAATAGATAATTTGTTTTGTTGTTGGCGTGCAACTGTCATTGTTACCCTCTAGGGGGTGACATTGACATTAGCATATATTGTACCGTAAATATTAGTTAACATTGTAAGTTATCATCGTAGTTTTGAAAAACAAAACAGAGAAAACATTTTAAATATATACTAGTACCAAACTAAATTTTCATTTAAAAAATTAGGAACATAAAAAAGTTGTAAAATTGCAATGAAAATGTAATAAAATATTATTATTATTTAATATTAATTAGATTTAGTTCTGATAGTGTCTGCTTGAAGATATAAAAAAGTTAACTTTGATTAAAAAAAAATTTTTTCTAAGAATTGTCAAACTATTAGGTTCTACATTAATGACTCAAACACATTAATGACTCAATATCTGACTCCAATGAGTTCTCACAGGGTTCTAATTTTTTGCTGGATTCCTTTCAAAATTGGTTTATTTCAAAATTTTTGAAATAATGTGATAATTTTTTACATCTACATGTTATGATTTTTGTTCTTACCAGTATTCTGCAACATTATTAGGTGTGGATTTTAACTTTCTGCAAGTGTCATAAATATCTGTTAACATTTGATATTGGTACTTTTTTATTTATTTAGATTTACTCTTAATTTAGGGTTTGCTTTGTTTGATTTCATTTCATGTAATTGTGAAAAATTCATCAGATGTAAGAGATTCTGCCAACTTTTGCTTAACTCTTGGTCCATGGGGTGACTTAAGCATTTCTGTAATTGTTACCTCTGTTACCAATATTACCTAGCTTTTAACTGAAATGCGTGTTTAAAAAAAAAAAAAAAAAGCTATAAAAATATTTAAAAACATCATAAAAACACATGTATGGTTTTACTTATCTTTTAACTAACGTTTTTTAGCAACAAAAAGAAATTAGTTTAATTTATGCTCAACGTTGTTGTTATTTATTCTTACATTATGCAGATAAAAATATTTGTTTACTCTAGCTACAGCAACTCTCAAAATAATTTAAACAATAGTCAACGGGTGACAGCTAAAAAAATTTAATCTAACACGTCAATTAATGAAACATTTAATTGTTTAGGTTGCCATGCACTAGCTGTGATTGAGTTTTCTTATAATTTAAAACATGACTATAGTACTTAAAAATATTAAAAATAAAAAACCATCCACTGACAGCTAAATCATTTCAATTTTTTATAAATGTTTATTGCCTGTGAAGTAACTTTTTATTCACTGAATTTTACCTCTTGCAAAATTTAGCAGGCCTGTTTGTTCTTTGTAAAATTAGTGTAAGTTTGGTTGTTTCATTTTTGGATTTCAATGTTGATGGCTATTAGCTCATAAAAAGTTTCAGCTATCCAAAATAAAAAATGGCAAGCTTAATTGACATTGAAAAAATGCAAAAAAACGCAATTTTTCTTAATTTTCACGTTTTTCTGCAATTTACGAAATCAATTAATAAAAAAGTAACAATAAATTATAAAAATTTTATTGAACATAATGGTATATAAGCAATATACGCATTTAAATTTATTTTTAGCTAGTTTTTATAACTCATTTTAACGCATATCTATTAATATAATCAAGTTTTAAACTGCAAACTTAAAATTACTTATACAACTAAACTGTATATACAAAGTTTACTTATGTAAGTCATTTTTAGTTTTTTAAGGTAAAATTATATAATTATAAACTAAAGAATTTAGACAATTATAGTTATATAGGTCTTGAAAGTACTTACAAACAATTTGAGTAGTTTTGACCTCAAGATTATCCAAGATGTAAGTAATTAATAATTACCAGATATGAATAAAGGGTTAATAAATTAATCCTTTGCTCATAAAAAATACTTTAAACATAATTACAGGGTTCCCACACCTCCTTAAAAACCTTAAATATCCTTAAAAAACAAAAACCTCCTTAAATGTCCTTAAATAACCTTAAAAAAGTTAAAATTTGACTGCTCTTCTTAATTTCTCCTTATTTTTTTTTATTTTTTTTTTTCTTATGATCTAGAAAAAATTTTTAAAGTGAATGGATTATACTTGTTAATTAGGAAGATAATATATAGATTTTTGATAGTTTTCAAACCTATTTTTGTTATTATATATATATATTAATATTTATATATATACATATATATATATATATAGAAATAATAATTTCTCTGTTTATATTTAAAATTTATTGAAAAAATAAGATTATGTTTTTAATGTAATCGTTTTTCTCCTTAATTATCCTTACTTTTTCTTTCAAAAAAATGTCGTTCGCGACCAAATCTCCTTAAATATTAGGAAAATATTTCCTTAAATCTCCTTAAAATCCTTAATTTTAGCTTTAGTTTTAATAGCGGGAACCCTGAATTAGTACGTGTACCCATTTGGTTTAAAATATCAAGCCAATCGTGAATTTTTATAAGGCTGAAGCATTACGCTATTTAGATAAACCTTCAAAAATTATTTCTATGACCCCTGAAGTGCTTAATTTTTTATTCGAAAACAGTGATTATTACAGTGATCAACTTAATAAACAGGTAATATAAAAACTTAATAACAGGTAATAAAAATAGCCATGGATAACCATCACCAAAATCCAAACATGTTTTTAAATTGTTTTTAACACTATAAATACTTAAATTCATGAATATAATTGTTTATCAAGATTTTAATTGCCAGAGGCTTGGGCATATGCAAAATATTTCTAAAATAAATACCTTGCAAATGTGAGTCGAACACTTTACCACTACCCTACTACTGCAATGAAAAAAGTAAGTCTCGCATTGAATGCGAGACTTACTTTTTTAATGACAGTAATGCCTGTTCCCTTATGTTAGAATCTTCATCTCTAAGCATACAATATAAAAAATTCTCAGGCAATAGACAATATGATTTTTTTTTAGATTTTTTAAAACAAATGTTTTGTATTTCTTCATCTTGCTTCCTTATCTGTTCTGTCATTTTAAAGAATATTCTTGGAGAATCCATAAATTTAGAAGCCCTTTTGATAAGAAACCAAGTGTATGCATACACTTTTACAATAAAATTCAAAAGCTTTACATGATCTAGACTTGGTGCTTCAGTACGAGTATACAAAGCCATGATTTGAATTGCTTAGTCAACCATCTTGCATTGTTTAGTGGACCAATTTTTCTTCTAAAAAATATGGTATTGACAAATCCTTTAGAAATTCCAAGACAATATTCAAATAATAGTCTTTGATCGTGGCTTAAATCATTAATCACTTCAATGGGAATATTTAGTATCTCTACTGGAGTATCAATTTTGGTAAACTTCACTTGTGGGTTAAGATGGAAATCTATAGAAACTTGCTTTCCAATAGGTCCTGAAAATTTATTTGGACACTTTGAATTGCCATCAACTATTTAGAATACTTTTCGAAATGGAAGTTTATTGTGATGCAAAATACATCCGATAAGGTGTATTTTTTTTTCTAATTTCTTTTCTAAACATGCAACAATTCCAGTTTTGAAACCTGTATTGAAATTTGTATTATCAAGAAGAAAGGCTTGTACTGAATTTAAACTATCATACTCTTTCAGAACATTATATACAATTTCATTTTGAAGCAAACCAATTGCACCATTTGATGGGAGATTTTTATGAGAGAGATATGAACCATTTTTAAAACTATTTTCATTAGTAAAAGTTAAATGATGTTCTTTTTCAGTAACTCTGTGGTAGTGGTGTAGTGGTAGAGCGCTCGCTTCATAAACGAGTGGTTCTGAGTTCGATCCCCACCACGTCCCTGGTAGTACCGCACTCAACTCGTTTCTCCACGCAGCGGCCTTGTTCATCAAGGTTCGTGTTTCGGAGTTATAGAGTTTAGAGAGGGTTATAACCACAAATAAGTAGCCTCCTCGTCTGTAGTGGCCTTCTCGGCCTTGAGGAGGTGAATTAAATTAAAAAATTAAAAAAAACACTCTCGACAAGCCAGTTTCCCCATTTTCAACGACATCCTTAATCTGAAGAACATTTTTATCGTCTTTACCATCAACACCCAAACGCGTCAAGTTACTTAAATTATTATCATATTGATCACCATATCTTGACATTATTTTCTTCTTCTCTCTATAAAACAACTCAAAGTATTATATTTAGCTAAATATCATTTTAAATGTTTTGTAAACGAGCATTTATATAAATTAATAAATAAAGAGATATATTTATATTTGTCTAACTTATATAATGAAATAGTATTTACCTCTCAATTTTGCTTCAACCTACAACTTGATTCAAATCTCCATGTTTAAGGATTCCATAATCTAGAAGTAGAGCATTTGCTAGTGCAGCTGCAGTACGAGATGAGACATTGTACCCACAAATAAGAAACTATGAAATAAATAAACAAATCTGAAAAAGCAAAGTATGTTATCTATATGTGATCCCTTAACATTCTATATTCACCCTCTCCTAACCCACATTAAAAAAAACTTTCTGGGGTCGAAAAATGGTGAAACTTATTGTTTGTTTTTTTTTCACACTTTTAATATAATATATATAAAAAATTCTTATCTAAATTCAATATATATAAAAATTTTATATACCTGACAGCTTCCATTGCAAATCTATCAAGTTTCATTAAATTATATTGAGAATTTTTTACTGAATTATATTCTTCAGAATCATTTACCTGTAAAAATACTTAATATTTAAAATATGAAAAAAAGCCATATATCTCAAGCAGCACACTTTGTAGGGCCAACAATTAAAAAACTTTGAAATCGTTGAAAAAAACTGTTTTAGCGTTACCGGGCAACGGTTGTCCTAACAAAGTGTGCTGTTTGTGATATATATATATATATATATATATATATATATATATATATATATATATATATATATATATATATATATATATATATATATATATATAAAATAGTAAAAACGCATCTAATTTTTTTTTTATATTCTATTATTATAGTCAAGAACCTTCCTGATGAACTTACTGGTGGTGACACAAGTTATTTAAGAAACAAATTAGATGAGTGTTTTTACTAATTTACTATTGCTCTGTTCTTTAAGAACATTGAGCACTCATTTTTAGATGAGTATTAAATCATAATATGGGCGTAAGGCATTTAAACGTGATCTATAAGCTTTACTTGAACTAACCTTTCCGGAGTAAATGTACCAGATTTTAAATCAGCCTTTCTTAGCTAATAAATACTTTTAGGACCAATCTTGTTTCTTTGGTCACGAATATATGCCCTGTCTTCAAAAGGGACCTTAAATATAATTTTTGAAAATAATCAACTACTTCAGTTTAATTTAAATGATTATATATAATTAATAAATAATTGCAGAATAAAACAACAAATAATCCAGTATATACAATAATATATAAAAAATGTAATCAAATATCTTTATAGTTTTACAAAGACACAAAATGTGCTCTACTTGGCAATTGATGATGCTACACTTAACATCTCTGTCATTACATAAAACAGTTGCTAATTCACAAGTACATGATGTCTAAGATCTAAAATCAAATCTTGATATTCCTTACTTTTAGATTTACAACGTCCTCGGTTTATAGATTTTACTTTTTCAAAAAGATTTCGTAATTTTCTTAAGATTGAATTTCTCTGAAGAAGAGGAAGACGTAGGTTTAACTTTATTCCACAAAGTACTAAGAGAATTTTCAACCTCTTCTAGTAGATTCTGTATTGAAATATTTTGGTTATTGTTTTCAGTGAAATAAAAAAACTGAATTACTTGACGAAATGTTGGAAGATCAGCTGAAGGCATTTCTGATGGGAGACCTCCGTATTTCAGACTATTTTCCAAACGAGTTTTCCTCGTTTTTTATAAAAAAATTTTCATAAATTATAATCTAAAAACAACAAAACAACGCGCAATGCGCATGCCCACTTTGAAAAAAAAAATCGAAAAATGGCGGTTTTACACAAAAATAGATTATGTCTTAATAAATGTACATTATTGTAAACCAGCCATTTTTCAGGCATTATTAGCAAGTACATGTTATACATATTATTATTTTTTGATAATCTATTTACTCCAGGGTTGCTATAGTTCTGATTCCAAAATCACTCCACCCTTATGGATATTCTATTTTGATTTACAAAGACTCCAATAGTCGCATACTTGGCCTGGACATATACTCATCTATCAATTCATCTATTTGTTTATTTTAGGTTTAAATTTTCTGTCTACTTGCTTTATTATTTTATTTATTCTTTTATATGCTTTAATTTAGCAACTCTACTCAAATATTTTTCTTTAAGTTCATGATTAAATTGGATCAGCCATTTTGCTTTATCTATTAGTCAATATTGTTGTTATTGATTACTCTAATGCTTATCAGACCAATTAGATTAGCTCTTTTAATACCGACCTTGCTGGTTTTAAAACTCAATATTTTTGTCATTACTTACTCACTTAACTTTGTAACTCGTTTTCTAGATAATCCAAATCACTTACCTTTATTCCTTGATTTTGGTCTCGTCTCTGACACAAGCATTTGGTCATTTTTTCTTTCTCTCCTTTAAGTGGTTCAGATCATCCTATGATTTTACTAAAATTTTCATCTCATACTAGTTCACCCTGCAGATTCACCTTATCACCCTATAGTTTTTACTACTACCACAAAACATTCCTTTTGTGATTTTATTTGTGATGGCCTTTTGGCTGGCGTCTCTCGTGTCTGCTGAAAATTGCCACCACTAAAAAAAACCAGCCTTAATTTGACAACAGTATTGCATACATAGACAAGAGATTTATTGAGGTAGAATGATTTACAAAAGTGTTTTCCAGATCTCTCTTCAATGCTCTCTATTTAAGTATTTTGCAGAATCTTTTTTTTCTTTCTTGCTGGAAAATAATATTTGTGGTTTTAATTTTCAGGTTTTAGTTCTCTCCTATTTCATGCTTTTCTTACTCGTACAATTTACGTTTTTTCCAATTTTCTATAAACCGTTTATTTGTACTTTAGCTTATTCATTGGGGTTTTTTTTTGACTCCAAATATTAAATAGTATGTTTTACAGCATTGTTGGAAGTGATACCTTTTTAAATCAGTTTAAGTGGGAAGAAAACCTTTTAAAGTAATCTTTATACATTATTGATAAGTGGGGCACTCATTAAAACAGATTTAATGTTATGAATATCGTCATGGTAACACCAAGTCATTTAGCAATAATTTTATCAGTGTAAATATTTATTATTTAGGTACCGGAGGAGCAGCATACACAACTCAAGCTATGGGTAATGTGATGGCTACCGGTGGAAATTATGGAGCGGGGCAAACTGTTCATATAGGAAGCGATAGATATGCTATATCAAATCAAGTACATCAGTATGATCATACTTCGCGGTATGGATATCTTTCAGGATTATCTGGATAAACACTGATTTTAAAAAAATTTTCTGGCAACCAAGTAAAACTAAGCAAAAAAAAAAAATAATGTTTTTAAATATATTTTTTTTATCTGGTGGAAAAATTGCTTTTGTGATACGTTTAAATTTTGCTTTGAACAGCTTAAATGAAACCTGTCAAATAGATTCTTAATTTTTTTATTACTTGCAAAATTTTGCAGTTTTAAAACATTTTATATTCTTTATTTGATATTTTTGTTGTCATGTTTGATAGCATTACTTGAGATTTTTTTTGCCACATCCGATAGTATTATATTTTTTTTTTTGTTTTTTGTTTTTTTCTTTGCTTGTTTGTTTTTGGTTATGTTCGGTAGTATTACACATTCGAAAAACTTTACATACACTTGACGCATTAATTTAGTTTAAAAGTTTCGACGTTTCACAGTAGACGAAAGTTTACCAAAGATTTTATTTTTAAAATAATAGCTTTAAAATACATTATGAACCACAAAAATATCTCTAAGTTCAAGTTTACTTTTTTTAGACGATTTTTTTTTTTTTAAATAACGATATTGATTTGAATATGACATCAAAAAATATACGCATTTAAGTCAATCATTTATTTTCAAAAATTTTATGAGTTTTTAGGTGGTGAAAAAAATTATGTAATGCAAGAGTTATAATAAACATAAAGGAAAAAAAAAACAAGATTAAAATGTAATAAACTTATAATTTAGATAAAACAAGAATTGATAAAGAAATCATTTATGAGGAAGATACATAAACTAATGGAAGTATTTACCTTGAGAAAAAGCAAGTCAAAAGACTTTACAGTGATGTTAGTAAAGTGCCACACCTTTTTATTCTTAAGGAAAGAAATCAAGAACACAGAAACGGTTTAAGTAGCGATTCTGATTTAAATATGGTTAACCGCCGGTACGGGTTCCACGAGTTGGTACTTGTGGTAATATTAAATAAAGATTAAAAACTTGAAACCAAATTTTGCATTGAAATAAAAAGCAAGTAGCAATTACTTTTCTTGCTTAGTAATAAAATCTTTGTAAATCTGCCGTTATTTTTGACTGCTTGCTCGTTATAATATTCTTTCGTAGATTATTTTCGGAGATTTTAATCAAACTATTTTTAGTGACCTGCTGATTAATATAATAAAAATAACCTTTTCGAAATTAGTGTCAAATACCTACAAGTTTGGTATGATGACCCTAACAGTCATGTTAAAATTATTTACATATTTTAATTTTTTTGCTTGAAAACAAGATGAACTAATTTGCTGAATTTCTTTTGGCACCTTATTTCAGGAGGATCGCTACGGTCTATGAGTATCAAAGGAAATCAAAAACAAAAGGTTAGTCACAGAAAAGCAGTTATCGAAGACCCAATTTCATTTGGTTCATAAAGTAAGCAAACGCTAAATTTAATAAGCAAAATCAAAAAATCACAAGTTTTTTCTTCGCAGTCTTTAATTAAAACAATGACTACAAACAAATAAAAATTCATAAAGTTTATTATAAGTATTCAGGTTGAGTATTGGTTCCTTTTTTGCATAATGCAAATATGAAATCAGAATTAAAAAAAAACAAGAATAGAAAAAATTTTAATTTTCTTTAGAGTTATTTTTATGGCGGAAAAATAATTTTTTTTTTACTATTGTCTTCAAGTTCAAAGGCTTAAAAAAAAGCTTTTGAAGCCGTCTATGTCCTCTTTAACTGTTAAATCTGATATTAAATTATTATAAAATAAGTGATCTGCCGCAGGAATTAAGTTTTAAAACGACTTGAAAAATTTAAAATTGTATGATTCAAGAAAGCAAGATGAAAGCAAGATGATCGCTCTTTAGAGCAGCGCTCATCATAGTATTTACAGAAAAGAGAAAGAAAAGCAACATTACGACGAAAGGACAATGGTTGAAAATTGGCTACAAGTGCAGGTCCAACTATGCGTATAATACGATTTTACATTTTGTCTAAAAGAAAAAGGGCAACATTAAAAGATCCGCTGCATATATGGCAACAGTATTCAATACAAGAAAGATTGAGAGTGAAAGATATGAAGAAGAGTTTTTCTTATCAAGAACAACTTTTATACTACAATTGGTAAAGAATAATTTAATATTCTTAAAGATATTACCTGATACACCGTAAGAAGAGAGCTTATGGAGAAGACCAGCATGCCAAACTTTATCAAAAGCTTAAGAAATGTCGAACGACAACCTTACCTTCTTGACATCTATCTAATGCATGATAAAACCTATCAATTATTACCTTTAACAGATCAGCAGTAGAACGAGAAAATTGAAATTCATATTGATTATCAGAAAGGAAGTTTTTATATATATATATATATATATATACATATATATATATATATATATATATATATATATATATATATATATATATATATATATATATATATATATATATATATATTATTTAGGTGCCTCAAGTAGTCCTTACGGTCTTATCGCAGAGCACTGCGGATGAGCATTTAATTGGAAGTTCACGCCTCCTTCCTAACCGATGTCGAAAAACTTGCTCAGAGGTGGGGTTTGAACCACGGGTCCTTTGTTTCTGAGGTAAGTGCGCTAGCAATGCGCCAAATTACTCAAGTGCTCAAGTTATTAGATTATTATTATGTTATTAGATTCAAGATAAGAGATTTGGTGTTTTTTATTTAAAGACTCAAAAAGCTTGTTCATTATAGTAAGAAGACTAATGGGACGGTAGTTAGACAAGTCAGACACTAAAAATCCTAATCAAATAGTTTTTAAGTGTGGCGACTTTTTTCAAGTAGGAAACAACGTCACGGGCCTACCTCACCTTTAATCCAGATTTGAAAGGTAAAAATATTTTGTTTTTATGCATAAATGCCACAGTTATACAACCATCGCTGTCTTTTATAAAATTTAATATTTGTTGTGAGGCGAGGTATCGGTAGTTTTTTCTCTATATCAAAAGTTAAAGTTTCAGTTTTCTCATCTTCCTCAGCTGTCTTTAAATCTAAATTCATGTTTTTCCTTTCTCAGCCTCTCTCTGATGTTTGTCTCTTTCTAAAATTATCAGGTTCTTTTCGTCACTCTCTAGAAGATTGTCCATTTTGTTTTTAACGTGTCAAATTTGTTACAATTATATTTTTGGGAGGGTTTTGTTTTTAAATTAAATTGTTCCAAAAAAAAATTTTTGTACGATGAAAATTCTACTGCATTGGCATTACCGGCTTTATAAAGATCATACATTAAAAGCAATCTTGTTGCTTCTTGTAAATATTCTTGCTTCACTCTTTTCTGCAGTCTTTTATTCTGTGCAGTCATGCAATTTATAACACGGAAATTGGTTTTTGTAATTGATAAAACAATTTTTTTTGATGTTCTGATATTTTATTGTGTCCACTACCTGTACCAGGTTGATCACACTTTCTGGTTTCTTATTTTGTAAAGGGCAGTTTACGTTTTGTTGAAACATTTAAGATATGAACAATCATGTCTCTACAAATTTGTATTTTATCAGCAAAATATTGCCTTGAAAACTGTCGTTTTTGAGAGATTCGCATAAGAGTGTGCAAGATTTATTGTTTTGACTGTTCTTTTACGCATGTTGCTATGAAACTTTTCTGTAGATTATAGTCGCCCAATTTTTCCATTGGCTGAATAATACTCTTGATTACTATTGCATTTCAATTTTCTATTTTTTATATCTTGATCAGGAAATTTTCGTTTTTTTCCTTTTTTTGGTCGTCTTGTAATAAGGAATCGTTTTGCTTTTGTCGAATAAATTAAACCTAAGGATTCTGGGATCAAATGTGGACAAACAATTCAAAAATGTTTAACAACAACAAGTTATTCAGTGTTCAATACAAACTTTCAATAACTTTTTGAATTCTTGTTTAGTGTTTTTGAATTTTTAAAAGCTATTTCAAGCCAATTATAATAGCAAAAATCACCGTGCTAAAGAGAAAATGATTTCTTTTATTTAGCATTGAGTAATTTATAAATATCTTCTAAATTGTCAGAAAATAAGAGTCAAATAAAAGTGTACATAGTTACTCTCAGGTGCTTATTACAAGTGCGGTGGAAAATTTGTCTAGATCTAATAAAGGATGGGAATTTTTATCAATCAATTTGTATTTTTTAACATTTCAGGCCGGTTTACATTGAAAGTTTTTTTAACATTGAGATTTTTCTTTTTTGATAACAAGTGAAAATTATTAGAACAACATTTGATTACACAGAACATGACACGTGGTGGTGTCACACATGTTTTTAAAAAAACAGCAACAAGATAGATCATTGTTTAAAAAAATCATTTATTCTATTGAAAGAAAACCATATTCAATGTTACTTCCGTAATGTCATCACGGAATATGATATATGTAGATAAATTACTAGTTTGGTCTGATAGCAGCTGATTCAAAGTCACATATTTTATAATTTGATTGCTTGAAAACAAAATGAGGTTTAAATTTGATATAATTCTATTGACAAGTCAAATAAAATAATGCTACGCTTCAGTTTAAGAATACAAATAATTTTAGTAACAAAGGTATTTAAGGTAGCTGCTGCTAATCTGATCAATGAAAATTTATAATGTAAAATCTTTAACAAAAAATTCAAAATTTCTAAAGATTAGCGACCGTCGCGCAGTGGTTAGAGCGTTTACTTTAGAAGCAACAGATCCAGGGTTCAAAACAAGCTATAGATATGTTTTTCATCATGAGTAGAGAAGGAGGCGTGAACTTCCTAGTTATTATTATTTTTTGTTATTTAGGTGCTCCCAGAAGTCCTTATCACGGTGCACCGCGGGAATTCACGGAGGCTTTGACATTGGTAAAGAGGAGGCGGGTTCACGCCTCCTTCCTTACCAATGTCACTTATTGGGCTAGAGCCGGCGTCGAACTTCGGACTTCTGGGTTGTAAGCCAAAACTCTAACTTGCGCTACGGCTGCTTAAGTTAAATGCTCTTCAGCGGTACTTTGCGACAAGACCGTTAGACCTAGGTCTAGCACCTTGACCAAAAATTAAAATAAAAAAAACAAAAACTAAATTATCTATTTATTTCTATCATTTTTTTATATTTTTAGTGGCTTAAATAGAAATCGAATATTTGAATCAAATATTAGTACTTGACATTATCTGCTATACTTGACATTATCTGGATTTTGCTTTAAGTTACTTTTGCAATTTAAGTTCCTTTACCAATTAGCCTTTAATATTATTGTCAATTTAGTATTAAATTTTAATATTAATAATTAACTTTTAATAACTGGCTACTCAAGACACTTTATCAATTCGACACCATTTTGTTCATAACATTCTAAAGATTTCTAAAAAAAGCCAAATCAGGCCAAAAATATTGTGGGCATATCGTGCTTAAAAACATA